GAAATTGCAGCAAAATGGACTAGCCTGCTGCATTTTTTCACTTTGATTTTTGTCTTTGAATTTAATCCATTCTTTCCCCGCAAAGACAACACTTGGAAGGTGGTCACCTGGTTTTCTATGCCCACGTACCCATTATGTATTAGCTCTTACTAGGGGGCAAGAGTTCATATAAGTGTGCTAAGCAGTTGGCTAGTAGGAGGTTGTTTTGCCCTAAGCTCTCATGCACACTAGGCATCAAAAACGCTCAGGGGCAAAGCAAAACAATAACACATAAACCAATACAGATACAGATACATCCTGCTGACTTGTATTAGCCAAATAACGAATTGTCCAAGGACATCAAGGAGGGAAGGCAAAAAGCCAAACCAAATAATAGCAGCAGTAATCCAACATATTACCAGAAAGAAAAAAAAAAGAGAAAAGAAAAAAGGTTAGAAGAAAGGAAAAAGAACATAAAACGACAACAAGTAAAAAAAAAAGGAAACAGAAAGAAAAAAATGGAACAAAGGGAAACTAGAAGAATCACGGATCCAGGGCTAGCACAGGCAGTGACTATAAGAGGCCATAACTAGTTGGAGGCAGGGATGGCAAGGAATAACGTATCCAAGGTTCCCAAACCTTAAGGAATCTCGGATGAGAATCATGAAGAATGCTAGACATCTGTTCACTGATCAACATAGTGTTCATCCGGGTCTTCACCCCCTGGAAGACAACCGAAGGGGTTCTCCAAGCTTGAGCTATAACACATTTGGCAGAAATAAATAGGTAGGATGCCAATTTCTGTTGAGACCTAGACAGACCCAAAATTGGGCAACGCAGAAGGGCCACCCTTGCATCCCTACGGACCGTAATATGAAAAGGCCTAATGATTTCTAATGGAGGCCAATTCAAAAATAGGTCTCCTCCCCTGCCAGGCAGAGCTGTACTGAGTGGTAGAGCTGTGTAAATCTTAGGACTGAAGGGACAGAAATACAAAACAGGTAAGTTAGCTCCCATCTATATTTAACCTCTATATTTGGTTGTTTACCTGGAATTCAGCTTTACTATTCCTAAAGCAGAAATTAATGATTAATAATGCCTACAGCAAATGAGCCATGGGATAAAAAACACTTTGTGAACTAGAAATATATTCAATCATAAAATTTCCCAAACCACGTATGAAGGTTATATTAAATAATTAATTTTCTCTTTGGAAAATGACCCTCAGGTGAGATTTTCCTGTAGGAGTCTGTCTATGCCCAATCTCACAGGGTCATAAGGGTAGAGTTATCTGAAAAACAGTGTTGCGCTAGCTCATAAACGCAATATTCATATACATATAAACATATCAAAGATATACAATAAAAGTTCTTATAGTTGTGACAGTTCAATTAATTATTGTGCTTGATGAAATGTGTTTGATATAGAATGTGCTCCAAAAAAATTCCACCGTAAAATCTGTGCACCTCCACCTCTGTGCGTTTATGAGCTAGCGCAACACTGTTTTTCAGATTGGTTTATTTTGAGTGTGGGATCACTTATAAGTGTTATTGCAGCAGCTCAGTGGATATTTTGTTTGTTTGTTTGTTATGATAGTGCCCATTGTCTTTTTTCTATAATGATTATGCCATTATTTTCTCCAGGACTCACCAATGCCCACAGTGGTCCTCCTTCCTTTTTCCGCAGCTATAAGCATGCAAGTTCACCCAACGAGAACTTGCATGTCTGCAGAAAGATCTTTGGTTAGAAAGAACCATGGACAACTGGCTATCAGTCGAATACTATGTACTGTACCTGCTTGAATCTCTGGCTGGTAACACCACACCACTTGGGGAATGCTGTCATCAAAGCAGCAACCTTAGTCTGTGCAGTCCTTCTCTGAGATGGTGGGGTACCCACAGTTGACTCTAGCCTTTGGATCCGTTGGATTACACTTAGTGGCTGCATAAAACAATTTAAAGAATCAGTACAGGAATCAACAGTCTTCAGCAATGAGGGCAATATACAGTATAAAGTGGTCTACACAATCAGGTTCCTATGTAGAACCTATCAGATCTCTCTAATTTGCTGTTGTGTTATTATAGTGAAGCAATCTAGTTCCCACCAAATTAATCATTAGTAGGGACTATCTTCCTTTAGGAACCAAATCCCACTGTCCCTCTCTTCTCAGATGTTCTTCATGTATAGACTTATATTAAAAAATGCTACCACCAGAAGTGTTGCACTACACATCTCACCTCTTTATAGTGAGGAACAAAATGGATGGAGGGTCTGGACAATTAAGTGGAGAAACAAGTCATAGAAGGGTTTAAATGTGAAGTTAGTGTGGAGGGGGTGTAGGTCTTACCAGACTGCTGGTTGAAGGTCAGATGCCTTGATGTAGGTCTTACCAGATTGGTAGTTAAAGGTCAAATGCCAGGGTGTAGGTCTTACCAGATTGGTGGTTAAAGGTCAGATGGGAGGGTGTAAGTCTTACCAGACTGGTGGCTGAAGGTTAAATGGGAAGGTTGTAGGTCTTACCAGACTGATAGTTGAAGATCAGATGGGCAGGGTGTAGAACTTACCAGATTGGTGGTTGAAAGTCGGATGGGCAGAGTGAAGCTGCAAGGGTTGTTCCTGTGAAGGCTGCTGGGTTTTTAATCTGAAAAATGTAGGCGGAGAGGAATTTTCCCCAGCCACCTACCCTTGATTTGAGGTTCGCTGGAAGTCAAGGGTTGTCACAATAAAAACTATAATAATACAATACAAAACTGTGGGTATGTCTGGAGTATAGTGCTTTCACTTGCTTGGTTATTTATTGTTTTTAAGCAGAGTTTACATGTTGAGGTTTTTTTTTTTCGTTCAACCAGCGTGAGCAATGTAAAAAAAAACTCAGAGTTATTGTATTCTGACAATGGGGACCCCTTCCCCCACCAAAATACTAAGATTGGCATGGCAGCCATTGGCTGCAAGTGCTGATCAAATGCTAGTTTTCGAGCATTACCATTCAACAGAAGCTGGCCATTAGACTGGCTTCTGTTGAACAGACAGCCGTACACATGTACTGAAAGTCAGCTGGTTCAGTAGGTATTTTCGGTACCGGTATAACCCAGGTTCAGAAAACTACATGAAGAGGTGGATGTTAGATCAGTCACAAGGTGAGTTCCTGTGAAGGATGCTGGGTACCCATTCTGAAAAGTTTTGATGAAGAAGAAAGTTTCCCCCACCCACCTGCCATCAATTTGAGGTTCATTAAAGGTCATGGGTTTGTAAAATGTCCCAAAAATGGATTGTCACAACAGCTTGGTGGGTCAGGGGTTTATTGGGGAGTCATAATTGAATTGTTAAAAACTGGAGGACCATAACCCAGTCAATATACCATGTTCTATATGAGGCTTTCAAGAGGATCTTGCTTGATGATTCCTTTAGTCATGAATGTATTATTTTAAATAGCTGATATAAAGGAAAAACAGTGGTAGAAGAAAGTCACCTGTGGGTTTAACCAATAATTTGCTGCAGATTCATTCATGGCCTGCATAAGTGGGGGTGTAGCCGTGGTGTCTCCTTTGCCTACATTCTTTGTGCCAAAAGGTGTCCTCTCCTTCTCAGAAAGGTGTGTGTTAAGGCCCATTGAAGACCTTTTCTGGCAATTATTACAAGGATTTGTGTCAGTCTATGGCTGCCATGGTGGGCTGCTCAACCAGAATATATCTTATAATGCCAAAACAGCAACAATCACAGTAGGCTATGCACATTCTATGCCTGAAATCACTCCTAGCAGGAAACTGTCCAGTGCTCTGCCAGACCTCTATAAGGTTTAGTCATATGCTTCAATGCGGCTATTCACGTGCATTTTGCATAGGGTTTTCGCTACTGCCTGCTTCAGTGCTTCACATAACAATGCACATTAAATGCATTTGTGCAATGGGGGTACGTTCATTCTGAATTGCACACCAGCACACAGATATGCATCTGTGCAAACCTTGCTGGAGTGAAATGATGGCTTCCACAAAACTAAGGGGGAGATTTACTAAAATTGGAGAGTGCAAAATCTGCTGCAGCTATGCATGGTAGCCAATCGACTTCCAATTTCATCTTGTTCAATTAAGCTTTGGCAATAAAACCCAAAAGCTGATTGGTTTCTAGGCAGAGCTGCACCATATTTTGCACTCTCCAGTTTTAGTAAATCCACCTCTTAGTTTCTGTTAGGGTTTACATCTACACTATATTGCCAAAAGCATTGGGCCAGCCCTCCAAATCACTGGATTCAGGTCTTTCAATCACCTCCATGGCCACAGATGTATACAATCAAGCACCTAGGCATGCAGACAGCAAACATTTGTGAAAGAATGGGTCGCTCTCAGGAGCTCAGTGAATTTAAGCGTGGTACCGTGATAGGAAGCCACCTGTGCAATAAATCCATCCGTGACATTTCCTTTTCTGCTAAATATTCCATGGACAACTGTTAGTGGTATTATAACAAAAGTGGAAGCAACTGGGAACAACAGCAACTCAGCCACATAAAATGAGAGATTGGGGTCAGTGCATGCTGAAGCACACAGTGCGCAGAAGTGGCCAACTGTCTGCAGAGTCAACTTGATGTGGCCTTCAGATTAGCACAACAACAGTGCGTAGAGAGCTTCATGGAATGGGTTTCCATGGCTGAGCAGCTGCATCCAAGTCTTACATCACCAAGTGCAATGCAAAGCGTTGAATGATGTGGTGTAAAGCACGCCGCCGCGGGACTCTAGAGCAATGGAGACGTTGTCTCTGGAGTAACGAATCATGCTTTTCTGTCTGGCAATCCAATGGACATGTCTGGGTTTAGCGGTTGCCAGGAGAACGGTTCTTGCCTGACTGCATTGTGCCAAGTGTAAAGTTTGGTGGAGGGGGAATGTGTTATAGAGTTATAGGTGTGGGGTTGTTTTTCAGGGGTTGTGCTTGGCCTCTTAGTTCCAGTGAAGGGAATTCTTAAGATCAGCATACCAAGACATTTTGGACAATATCATGCTCCCAACTTTGTGGGAACAGTTTGGGGATGGCCTCTTCCTGTTCCAACATGACTGCGCACCAGTGCACAAAGCAAGGTCCATAAAGACATGGATGAGCCAGTTTGGGGTGGAGGAACTTGACTGGCCTGCACAGAGTCCTGACCTCAACCCAATAGAACACCTTTGGGATGAATTAAAGGCAGGAGGCCCAATACTTTTGGCAACATGCTAATGTGGACTATGGCTTACCTCTAACAGACAGACAGGGGCTAAAACACAAAGGAGCCCAGCAATAGCAAGCAAACAAGTCAGCATGTTACTCACCTTCGAATTTCCATGGATTGTAACACCAGATACTGTCCATCACTGAACTGTCATAGCAACAACCCTTCTTCAGACACTCCTCCTCAGTGATCATGGCGTAGCCACAGTTGTCTCTTGACTTGGGTTGAACTCCGCACCTATCTGTTTAAAAGTGAAGCAGAGACAGAAGTGAGCCAGAAGTGTTTAGATTGCTAAAAACTTTCTAGAATATATGTCTAAATCTAGTTTTGGATAAGGTGGTCATCTATTATTAATATTATTATTATACAGGATTTATATAGCGCCAACAGTTTGCTCAGCACTTTACAATATAAAGGGAGACAATACAGTAACGATACCCACGAAACACATTGGAGTTAAATAAAATCTTATTCTAGACATTTTAGGTAGAGTAGGGCTTGTATTCTCTACCTTGGCTTGACACACGGCACTTCACAGTCTAAGGGCATCTTTAATATGCAAATTAGCCTTCTTTTCATTTACATGCCCAGGATAATTTAAGGTCTGTACCCATTCTGATTTAGAGGGTAACTCTTTTGTGGGAAAAAAATGGCAAATAAGAAAAAAAATAATATGGTGTATACAATTGCGACCCAAGTCATATTTTGATTGCATGTTTTTAAAAATGACCTTTCCTTTTTATTTTTTCATTTTCTGTAAAATGCAATATGGCAACCTGGAATCGTTCTATACACAGATGGTGTACAAATCGCCCCCCAGAAATGTCATTTCCTGTTTGTGTGATTGGCTCACTAATTTTCCCAGAAGTCTTCACTAAGATACAAGTCAGATTGTGGGCATCCCCTGCAAAAAATGTCATTTTTGGTGAGATACTCCCAAAGGGAAATCATGTCTAAAGGGATGCTGACCCTGCCACTTTCCTCATTAGAATTCTGCAAGTGCAGCAGCTGATTGATAATTATAAAGCCTCCCCCTTAGAATCACTTTCCACACTGAAACAAACAGTTATTTCTTCAAAATAAAAGGTAGGAATCTGCAACAAAATGTGTTAAGATCCCTGCAATGCACATAGATCACCCAGAGGGGAATGTTTTTTCTCTCAGCAAAAGTGGAGTTACTCCTTAAGTGTTACTAAACCCACAGCAGTAAAATCAGTCTGTATATGCAGTAAAGCATGCTTGTTATTACTTGTGGAACTTAAGGGGTTAATCCTCTGCATTGTATGTAAAGGCTGTTTGATCATGACTTCTCTGATCCTCCCCTTCTCTACTGTACCAAGTCCATCTTCTGATAGAACAGAGCCTTGGGGGCAAGCTGCACATGCTCAGTTTGGTGTGTATTGCTAGAGAGTTTTTTTTTTTTCTTCGGAGAGTAGATGTGATCAGCACAGGGTCAATCAGCACTGTCCAGACAGAGGGTCAGGGGTCATGCAGCCTCATAGGATGATCAGGGGAGAATGAAAACTCCTCCTACAAGCTTTAACCAGTGCTGGACACTGATAGAAGTCACAAGACTATGCTAACTGCTGATAAGAAAAGGTTTATATTTACTAATACAATTGCATTTCCATGTTCTGTGTAGTGTGGGAAACCAGATATAGTGAATGCAGGGTCCGGGGAGACCAGATATAGTGAATGCAGAGTCTGGGGAGACCGGATATAGTGAATGCAGGGTCTGGGGAAACCGGATATAGTGAATGCAGGGTCCGGGGAGACTAGATATAGTGAATGCAGGGTCCGGGGAGACCGGATATAGTGAATGCGGGGTCCTGGGAGACCGGATATATTGAATGCGGGGTCCGGGGACACCGGATATAGTGAATGCGGGGTCCGTGGAAACCGGATATAGTGAATGCAGGGTCCGGGGAGACCGGATATAGTGAATGCAGGGTCCGGGGAGACCGGATATAGTGAGTGCAGGGTCCGGGGACACCAGATATAGTGAATACAGGGTCCGGGGAGACCAGATATAGTGAATGTAGGGTCCGGGGAAACTAGATATAGTGAATGCAGGGTCCGGGGAGAGCAGATATAGTGAATGCAGGGTCCGGGGAAACCAGATATAGTGAATGCAGGGTCCGGGGAGACCGGATATATAGTGAATGCAGGGTCCGGGGAAACCAGATATAGTGAATGCAGGGTCCGGGGGAGACCGGATATAGTGAATGCAGGGTCCGGGGAAACCAGATATAGTGAATGCAGGGTCCGGGGAGACCAGATATAGTGAATGCAGGGTCTGGGGAGACCAGATATAGTGAATGCAGGGTCCGGGGAGACCGGATATAGTGAATGCAGGGTCCGGGGAGACCAGATATAGTGAATGCGGGTCCCAGGGAGACCGGATATAGTGAATGCAGGGTCCTGGGATTAGTAACACTTTAAGGCTAGGTTTTACACCTATGCAGTTTGCGTTTGATCTGCTTCTGCAGTGCATTTTGCGTTTCTGCACATGCTTTTTTGGCGCTTTTTTGATGTGTTTTGCAGGGGGGGGTTTTTGCCAACTTGTTGCTGGACAGATTAAAAATGCGGAATGCAAAGTGCATCAAAAGCATGCCAAAAATGCTTAAAAAATGCACGCAAAACATAGCACTTGCATTTTATATGCGGTTCCATTGAAGTGTATTGGACTACAAATGCAAACTGCTGCTGGAAAAGAAGTCCCTGACCCTTTCCAAAAAACATGCACACAAAAACTGCAACTGGAAAATGAATTCCAGAGTTTATCAAGACATTTTGCAGGAAAACGTACGACCATCTGTCCGCCAACTGAAGCTCCGCAGAGGATGGGTGATGCAACAGGACAATGACCCAAAGCATACAAGTAATTCAACAAAACAATGGCTGCAGCAGCACAGAATACGCCTTCTGGAGTGGCCCAGTCAGAGTCCTGACCTCAACCCCATTGAAATGCTGTGGCATGACCTTAAGAGAGCGATTCACACCAGACATCCCAAGAATATTGCTACACTGAAACAGTTTTGTGAAGAGGAGTGGTTCAAAATGACTCCAGATCGTTGTGCAGGTCTGATCTGCAACTATAGGAAACATTTGGTTGAGGTTATTGCTGCCAAAGGAGGGTCAACCAGTTATTAAGTCCAAAGGTTCACATACTTTTTCCTCCCTGCACTGTGAATGTTTACATGTTATGTGCAATTAAACCATGGCAACATCTAATGTTTGTGTAGTATTATGTTCAGCAGACTGTGTTCTTCTATTGTTGTGACTTAGATGACGTTCAGAGCACATTTTATGCCCAATTCATGCAAAACTCCACGTAATCCCAAGGGGTTCACATACTTTTTCTTGCACCTGTAGGTGGGCCCAAAACTTCAGTGACACCTAAGGGGGTAGTGCTACATATTTTCCATAGAAATCCAGATTATTTTACACCAACCAAACAAAAGTTATTTGACTCACATGGCCACTAGGGGGCACCTACCTGTACAATAATATACATGATGGTTATAAAATTTATATGCGATGCATGAAGAAAAAAAATAAAAAAAATGCTTGAAGTTAAGGGTATAAAACACATCTAAAAGATACCACCTGACATTAAAAAAAAATCCCCATTGAATAGTCTGTATTCTTTACATTGGGAACGTTTACTTCTTTATTAGTAAATATAAATGGCATTATACTTAACCTCTGGCTATTTCTGCAGTCACACCCTGTCCTGACCAACATACACTGGCATTCGGCACTTGTGCTGTGTCACCAATCAATCAAATAGTTACATAGTCAAGTTTAAAAAAAACACAAAAGTCCCTCTAGTTCACCCAATAGAAAAAAAATAAAGAGAAAACCTCCATATACACAATGCTACACCTACAGTTGATCCAAAGGAAGGCAAAAAAAAAACAACCCTGTAATGCAAATGCATGAATGAATTTACTCCAAAGAGGGGAAAAAAATCTTTCCTGGTCCACCGAATCAGCAATCGAATATTCCCTGCATTAAAAATCTCTGGTGTTATTACCTATAAATATTAGTATCCATTATTTTGTGAATTTAAGAATACATCCAGCTCTTTTTAGAACAATCCACTGAGCTGGCCAAAACCAACTCTTGAGGGAGTCTATTCCACATTTTCACAGCTCTCACTGTGAAGAAACCTTTCCGTTTTTGGAGATTACATTTCTTTTCCTCTAGATGTAAAGAATGCTCCCTTGTCCTCTGTGATGACCTCAGGGTGAATAACTCTACACCGAGTTCACTATATGAACCACTGATGTATTTATACATGGAGATCATATCCCCCCTTATGTATTATACATGGAGATCATATCCCCCTTATGTATTATACATGGAGATCATATCCCCCCTTATGTATTATACATGGTGATCATATCCCCCCTTATGTATTATACATGGTGATCATATCCCCCCTTATGTATTATACATGGAGATCATATCCCCCCTTATGTATTATACATGGAGATCATATCCCCCCTTATGTATTATACATGGAGATCATATCCCCCTTATGTATTATACATGGAGATCATATCCCCCCTTATGTATTATACATGGTGATCATATCCCCCCTTATGTATTATACATGGAGATCATATCCCCCCTTATGTATTATACATGGAGATCATATCCCCCTTATGTATTATACATGGAGATCATATCCCCTCTTATGTATTATACATGGTGATCATATCCCCCCTTATGTATTATACATGGTGATCATATCCCCCCTTATGTATTATACATGGAGATCATATGCCCCTTATGTATTATACATGGTGATCATACCCCCCCCCTTATGTATTATACATGGAGATCATATCCCCCTTATGTATTATAAATGGAGATCATATGCCCCTTATGTATTATACATGGTGATCATACCCCCCCTTATGTATTATACATGGAGATCATATCCCCCTTATGTATTATAAATGGAGATCATATCCCCCTTATGTATTATAAATGGAGATCATATGCCCCTTATGTATTATACATGGAGATCATATCCCCCCTTATGTATTATACATGGAGATCATATCCCCCCTTATGTATTATACATGGTGATCATACCCCCCCTTATGTATTATACATGGTGATCATACCCCCCCTTTATGTATTATACATGGAGATCATATCCCCCTTATGTATTATACAT